GCGCTTGCGCGGGATTTCATCTAGTAACATATATAGCAAGACATTGTCAGTAAATTGTTTTCACACCCAGCTGCAGCATTAAACTTCTCTGTAACAAGTCTACCCCCCCCCCAAAAAAAAAAACATTGCCTCTCTTTGCCATTATTGATATCGCGAGAGGAATACCTACACTGTATATTCATTATATATACTGGATGCTGTATACAGTAATAATATATCATGGCCGTAACTAGGCTCAAATTTTTAGTGAGGCAAGGGATCTGAGGGCAATCCGAGTCCCAAGCAGGTTTAGGGTAGTGTCTGGTGGGGCCAGTTCCCGGGGGGAGCGGAGTGGGGGGGGGGTCCAGAAACCTGGGTTTTATTAAATTAAAGTCTTAATTAATCTTTGAAAGTTTTCACGTTTTAAATTATTTTTAACATGCGTTCTAATCGATAATGAAACACTTTGTGAGATGATCGATTTACAGAAATTGAAACAAAGGTTGAATGTATTAATTTAGTACAAAGACACAAATAATCAATTAAAGTTCGAAGTAAAACTTTTTCACTTTTAAGAAAACTCTAAAATTTTAGTGAGGCATTTGCCTCACTTGCCTCAATGGTATTTACGGCCTTGTAAACATGTACATGTAAGTAATCTAAATGGAAACACATCTGAAAATTATTGTTCACTGTTACTGCTTGGATTTGATAGACCACACCTGTTAAACAACATTCAAAGAAAAGGTGCAGAGGATCAACTTCTGGAGAAACCCCTGTTCATCCCTCAAAACAAAGTTGTGCAGTTTGTTTCTATCACTGTATCAATGTTTTAAGTATCTTTTTGTGGTAATTGTGTATCAAATCAATTTACAATGAATCATCTCAGTCATTTTAAAATTGTTTGAAAACCTGAAGTTGTGATCCTTAATAAATTTAATTTTGTGATTTTAAAAAGGAAAAAAGAGTGATAATCAATTTGATTTATTTATTATACTATATAGTCTACAGGCTCCAGGTGGAAAGGAGAAGAAGAAAAAATTTTTACTTGAATACATAAGGACCCATCCCCCTCCTAATCCAATTCTAAATTCATATTGGAAAGAATTGGCATTCAGCTTGAACGAAGAATTACAGACTTCCAGAACACGCAAATAACTACATGTAGATTAGTTTGTTTTATTATACCTCTGTGAATTTTTTCTATATAAAAATATGACAAATAAACCTGCTATTTTTTCCAAACAGCCCCTACAGTGGAATTTTTTTTTTGAGTTATTTGCCCTTGGTGAAATAGTCATTAAACTATTCACCGGCAGCATTCTGTTTCCCTCGCTTTTCATCTCGGAACTCTTCTGGTTTTATCCAGATTGTGACGTAACACAAGTAAATACTGCTTCGGTATAATAAAACACCTATTTACTGGCTATGAGGACGATAGCAAGTTTATCGTCCCCCTCAACAGCAACTATTTCCCTCGACTGCGCCTCGGGAAATAGTTGCTATCTTGGGGAACGATAAACTTGCTATCGTCCTCATAGCCAGTAAATAAGTGTATAATAGTCTTCTATTAAATTTCTCCACCTCTTACAGCAATAACAAAACCAATCATTTCTGGCATCTAATGTTGTGAGTATTTGGTTTGAAAGAAAATTCAGCGTTTGTCATATTCTAAAAATCTGTGCCCTTTGTTAGTAAAAAATCAATCCCAAATAGATTTGATTGTTAATACTGATGATTTGATAAAACACAATACTCCAGAATAAACTTAACTACCTTGTTTTATTTCAGGCGCATCATGCAGATCATTTTATAAAAGAGAAGAGATATCCTTCATTGAAACAGAGCAATTTTTAAGTTCAAGTGCAGAGCGCGGACAATTTCTAAGTTCAACTGAAGAACGCGGAGTGCAGACAGACGTGAGCATACCCTCCCTACTGTTTGTATAAGTAGATCCAACATGAATATAAAGTTTTAGCGAAAAGGATATATAATGACATCATTAATTTAATTCAAAGGTGGTTTTTCATATTCTAAAATGTTTACAGACATGTTTTTTTCTGATGTTTGTTGCATTGCTTTTAATTCTTTAAACAGAGGTGATCATTCTGAGAGAGACTCCTCATCAGCAGAAATGGAGGATGTTGAGGAGAGTGTCAGCTCTCTAAGAAGTTAGCTAATAAAAGGAGAAAAGGCACTTCATTACACTGTTTGGCCAGAGAAGTATATGAAATAAAAGACCTAGAAGAGGAAATTCGGCATTGTTTCATGTTGGAAATCGAAGAATCCTCAAAATATTTAACACAGAGGCGTTTCAGTTACTTGGGGGGGGGGGGGGGGGTAACACTTATGAGGATTTACTAACTTTCAGATGGGAACATGTTGTACAAGAAATGCTTGACTACAATCCTCTTTTATAAGAAACCTTGCTTGCTGTGTGTATTCCTAGGAAGTCAATGCATGAGCAACATTTTGATAAGATCTATCCAGAGATTGGAACTGTGTACGGAATACTCATGAAGAGGAGGTGTAAGGACCTTCCACATATACAAAGGATGATCTACATGTCATTGGCAGAAGAGAAGGTTCATCAGAAGGTATTTTACAATTATCATGATTATGTCTTAATTCACAGTCAATTTTTATTTTCGGTTTCATTACAATGTTTAAAGTTAAAATATTATTATTTTATTAACCTGTATTTTTGTGTCACCTGCAAAGCAGAGCTAGTAGTACACTAAGGGATCACTTTACCAAGCGTCTGTCTGTTGTCTGTCTGTCGCACCTCATATCTCAAGAACTGTAAGAGGTATGGATTTGATATTTTGCACATACATTGTTTGGCACTATGGCTATAGTAAATAACCATGGTTTTTAACCTAATGACATTTGAACCTGACATTTGACCTATTTTACAAAATAGTACTTAGTGCCAATATACAGCATATTTTTGACATTTAAAAGGTAAGTCCATGTTTTTAGCTCACCTGAGCTGAAAGCTCAAGTGAGCTTTTCTGATCACCTGTTGTCTGTCGTCCGTCCATCTGTCTGTCTGTCCGTCCATCTGTAAACTTTTCACATTTTCAACTTCTTCTCAAGAACCACTGAGCCAATTTTAACCAAAGTTGGTACAAAGCATCCTTGGGTAAAGGGAAGTTTAAATTGTTAAAATGAAGGGCCAACCACCCTTACAATGGGAGATAATCAAGAAAGAGAAAAATAGGATGGGGTCATTAAAAAATCTTCTTATCAAGAACCACTGGGCCAGAAAAGCTGAAACTTAAGTGTAAGTTTCCTTGGGTAGTGTAGATTCTAAATTGTTCAAATCATGGCCCCGGGGGTAGAGCAGGGCCACAATAGAGAATCTAAGTTGTACATTGAAATGTATAGGTAAAATCTTTAAAAATCTTCTTCTCAAGAACCACAGGGCCAGAATAGCTGAAACTTATGTGGAAGCATCCTTGGGTAGTGTAGATTCTAAATTGTTCAAATCATGGCCCTCGGGGGTACGGCGGGGCCACAATAGGGAATCAAAGTTTTACATTGAAATATATTGGCAAAATCTTTAAAAATCTTCTTCTCAAGAACCACTGGGCCAGAAAAGCTGAAATTTAGGTGGAAGCATCCTTACATAGTGTAGATTCTAAATTGTTCAAATCATGGCCCCCAGGGGTACGACGGGGCCGCAATAATTATTACAATGGAGTGGGGGTCTGGTGAAGAACAGCAGGGCCAAACGTAACTCAGGTGAGCATTGTGGCCCATGGGCCTCTTGTTTAAGAATGTGTACTGTTTGTCATCAATCATTGTAAAAAATGTCTTAAGTGTTCCTTGGAACACTTTAGTTAATTTATTGCCACTGATAATTGTTTGTGTCCATTTTTCTTTGTTTTCAGCCTTCTTCATTTCAGAATGGAAATGTTTGGGATGTTTGATGTTTTCTGTTTACTAAACCTCATTAAACCATACTTTGTGAGCATGACTTATAGAATAATTATGTCATGAACCTTAGTATGGATAATTGGGTTTTTCATTTTCTCCAAAAAGTTCATCATTTGGTTGTGTTTTCCACTAATTGTAATGACTTTTACGATATTGGTTCTTTGCCCTAGAGTAAGTAAATGTTTAAAAAAAAAATTGCTAATTACTCTTTCAATGAATTGGGAAAACATTCAACTATTAAATAGTATAACTTCCTTGATATTAACTTTATTGAACTGCAGCTTTTCTTACAACATGAAACATAACATTGCTGCTCTTATTTTGATATGCAAGTAATTTTCTTCATGTTTAATATATATGTGCACTAAATTTGTGTTTAAGGTTCATGTTAGATTTCAACGCCTGGGAGTAACTTTATCTCACAGTGTAGCTCTGAAAGTTCAAAGACAAATTGGTGACCAATATATTAAAGACCTTGTAGATGCTATCCCGTCTGATTGGGGACAACGTAAACTTTATGGTTAAAGTCAGTCACCAGCGACACATTTCATCAAAACGTATGGAAAACTGGTTTGCATCTGCTGCCATTATTCAGCATGAAGAGTTTGAGAACCTAACTGACAAGGGACCTCAAAGACAAGTCCTGGATATTCCAGCTGAGGACTTTCTACCATCACTAGCAGACTGGAATGTTATTCATAAGGAGTATGTTACACTAACATAAAGTGTGTTATGCAAATTTTGCAAAGAATTTGCTGGTTTCAAAACATTTCTTGATGAAATGAGACAGGAATTCATTCCTCATAATTATGATGCGACAAAAAACACTCTGTTGTCCCCGAAATAACTACCGGTATTGCCAAGAAATGAACAGTGCGACACAGATGTGATAAAGATTTTAGATTCATATGAAGAAACAGTTGCAGAAGTGTTCAGGGCCAGTGGCAGAGAAGTCGACGACAAAACCAGAGTGCACATTGGAGGAGATCAACTTACTAGAGAACATTTTTCAGGAGCAAAGAGACACTTCGAAAAGATGCTGTTAGTGGAAAGGATGGTTTTGAGCACCTCTCTCCCATTACGTTTGAACTTTTCCATTTTTGACCATTGCAAAGAACTTGCAGTGTCTTTAATAGGCAGTTACATAGTGTCTGCAGCTCTGGAGTATTTAGGGATGGACAAACTGGATTATGTGCCAATCAAACATTTTATACCAAGTTTGGATGAATTATTATAAGTGAATATGAGAAGAAGATGTCTCTTGTGCATTCATTAGAAAATTTCATTGATGCATACATTATAAAAGATTCAAAAGATTTACTCCAGGAGCAATCTTCTACTGTACAGTTTATTCAAATACAGGTACAAATGCCAAATGGAAGTCCAGTGAATATTCAGCTGCCTCTTTTGACAAAATCTGAGCATATGCAAGCTTCACCAGATCATATCATGAACTATGGACTTTGAATCTTAGAACTAGGACTTGCATTTAAAGGCCTTCAAAACAATATTAAAATTCCGAATAGAGTCGACAGGTTTATACCACTCATGAAGCACTTAATGTATATTCTAAAGGGCCACAATGATAATTCCAAGTATGCACTTGAAATTTTGCGCTTCTTGGTCCAGCAGCAGTGCACATTTGATGAGAAGACAGCTTACCAGTCTTTTTTATGGTCTCTTTGTCAACAATTATAAAGAAAAGTTTGATTCTTCAATTCCTGCAGACCTACAGATGGAACACATTGTGAGACAAATTAAAGGTCACTTGAAAGCTGTCCATTCAAATAAACAGACACTGCCATTGCAAAGAGAACAGCTGCCTTTGCTGGCATGAAAAACATATCAGCATCTTTTGATGATTCCTCTGATGTTATTGTACGTTCTCAGAAGCACAAAATTGTTTTTTCACACTCTGATGAATGCATGATTATCAGTGACTTACAGAAGCTTAAACCTTTCCACTTTAAAGATGGACGAAAGTTTCAATCATTTCCCAAACCTGTCCAGAGTCCCTTGAGTCATCTCAATATGCAGAAATTGAAGTCATGGATTCGTGAACACCAGTACAACCTTCACCATGAAGTAAGAAATTAAGGTAAAACTTTATGAAAACATAAATACAGTAAAACATTCTTATAGTCAAGTCCCATGTACCTCAAAATTTGCTTTGATAAAAGAATTATTTGCTATATCAGTGTATATCCTAGTTAATTAAGAAATAAGTTATTTTGAAACTTTGATAAAAAAGTCATTATATTAAGTGTAAATTTGTGTAAGCTTGTTTGCTGTAACTGTGTTTTACTGTTTTTAAACTTGAGGTTTGTTTATAAAGAGCTTCACATAATTAAAGAAAAAAATCCAAAAACAAAGAAGTTAAACTTACATATATTATAACAGTACTGTAAACTGAAATATGTTTATTCAAGCCAATTTTAAAAACATAGTTTATCTTAAAGACAAATCAATGACCTGTTTTATTAAACAACATAAAGACTTTGCAACTACTGGGGAAATTTGAAAGTCTTGGGTCGGTTCCTCCTCTGCAAGGTGTAATTTAGGAAAGCGAACTAAATGTTCAATACACTCCAAGCTTTACTTCTTCTTTCAGATCTGAGGAAGTCACAAAGGAAGTTAATGCAGATCTGAGAACAGACTTGTCTATCTCCGAATCCTTTTCAGCTGACTCAGAAGAGGGGCAAGAATCCTCACATACATCACAACAATTTTGAACAACAGCAGTAGATTCTGTAAATCCAAAGTGGGACTTAGAAAAAAACTCGCCTACAAAGTGTGTCATTCCTGCAATACTCCTTAATTTCCTTTGAAATGTTTAGACGCCCCAAGTCACTGCTATTGAAGTACAAAATGGCTTCACACTGCATTTCACTGTTTCGTCCACCACGGCCAATATGCTGTATGTATGCTAAAAGTATAAAATTGAAATATAGAAGGAAAGTTTTTAAGTTAATATGGAGCAAATTATTTTAAATATTACTATCACTACAATATGTTAATCATTATCACAAGAAATTAGCTCTTCCATAATGTAGAACTAAATTCTGCAATATACATGTGATATATTGTAGGTTACCTCCTACTTCTGATATTATTCCATCCACACTGTCAAGCATATGATTTAATTTTTTTATATTGTAGAAAATTTACCTTCCAGATTTTGGGGAGGACAAGCATGAATCACCTGAGCTACATAACGCAGGTCTACCCCTATCCCTAGTGCTACTGTAGCAATAACAACTTTCAGGGGACTCTCTATGGGATCCTTTGCCAAATTCTTAAATATGATATCTTTGAGCTGAAATTCATTTATTATAATTGAGTAAGTTAAATTGAAATCTGTTGGAATATGAAAACAGAAATCCAGCATACATAGATTTTCAAGACTCTATATATACTTTTGTGGCAGAAAATACAAACATTTGCTATGTAAATATTGACTTGATTGTCTCAGTTTTATCAATAGATCTTTGCATATAACTGTTAATTAGATTAAAGATCAACATAGGGAATTTGATGACTTTTACATGTATCATTTATTCAGTTGAACTATAAGTGATCTGTTGTTTTTCTATCAAAAGAAATCAAACTCTATGTAGGTATGAGACAATATTCACCTCATCTCCTTTTTCCAAAGCAGAATGTAACATGACTACCCTTAGATTCTCTGCACATTTGTGTCCATCACCACCATACATACTGTCTCGAAGGATTCTCTCGGCAAGTTCAAACCCGTATCCCACCCAGTCCATGCTGCCACAGCAGTAAATCAGTGTAAGAGGATAATCCTGAGTTTTCTGTTTTAGTTCATAGAAAACAGACTCAAACACATAGTCAAGAGCCTTTTTCACAGATTTGTTTTTCCCAACACCAGGTCTCTTTTTTATAATTAGTTTGATGTTTTCCTTTGTAGGAACTGTGAGTCATCAGTAGGTGCTGGGCAACATTTTTCTGGCCATCTTTTGACAAAGTAGCACTTAATCCCAGCACTTGAGCATCCGGTACAACAGCTCTTAATTGCTTAATTTCTCTGAAAACTGGACGGAATTCCTCCCCCCAGTCTAGAATACAGTGTGCCTCATCGACAACAATATATGATTTCTGTTGACAGGAGCGTAGAGCTTGATATACAGCTTTGTTGCCAATGATGTTTTCAGGATGAGAAAATATATATGTGCAAGTACCTGATGCAGTTTTGTCAATATCACTTTCATTCATTTTGTTTTTTAAGCAAATGCTGGTGTATTTCGCAAGTTTATTCAGTTGCTGCTCTATAATGTTAAGGACATTGGCAAGGTTCCTGGTTATCGTATAGAATTTTTCAAGAACTCTTGAGTAGGTTTAAAAGTACTAAATAGGCTATATTCTTGACCTTTTAACCTACCAATCCAACCTTCTTTTTTAGATTTTGTGAAATCGATGTTTTTACACTTCTCAATGCATTTCCTATGTAAAATGTTGATAAAAGGGACCTACATAATTTTTCACCATAATATTTTTCCAAAACCCACTTATTTCATACAGTTTTTGTATTATATACATTATTGTATCTTCATTTCCTATGACTTCTAGAAATTATGGCTAAAAATTATATATCGGAACAAAACATGGATATACCGGCACCGATCATTATTTCTGAGTTGCTTCCCTTAACAGCTAAAATTGATCAAGAGACTGGTTGATTGTTTTTATCATGTAGTTGACTTAATTGATTGAAACACATTGTAACAAAAATATTGGCATTGTTTTATTTTTATTTTTTATTCGTAGTTACTAAATGCTGCTTCCTTCACACGACCTAGCTAAGAACTGTTCTCAGTCGGCCTACCTTTCAGCATATGTCACATATTTGCCCTTCCCAGCATACTGAGCACAACTATCGTAAATGACGACCTATTGGCTCTTTGTCCCTGAATACAATGTACAACAAAGCCATTTCTACTTTTCTTTCTTGCTGTATAGATGATTCTACCCGTTGAAGGAAGTAATTGTGCTTTTGTTTACCTCTGTAACATACGCTTTATTGGTTTCCACCGCTTAGAGAATTCTACACGGGAGATCACTCTCAATCACTATGTTATAAGTGAAAAAACCCATGTATTAAACCTTCTTTCTCCGGAAAACCTTGACTTGCCAATGTCCTTAAGGAGTTCAATAATTAACACAAAAGCATCCAGCTTAGTTTCTTCTTTGTAAGCTACATGTATAGGTAAAAATTCATATATAAGACTTTTCCTAAAACCGGTCGGCAACATACATACCACATCTGTCTGTTCATTAATTTTATTTACATTTATCTTGTGTGTGCTAATCTAATGAACATTAAAAGCTATTATACCGAAATATTCTTAAACAGTGCAAGATTACTACCAGTTCTTTCAAAGGAAAGCCAACAACAGGAATTGAACCTGTTCCTCTATCGTAAAGATACGAAAGCATGCACCAGTACACCATGTTGGCATTTAAAACAAGCATTCTGAGAGTATTGCATTAGCAATACTAGTCCCCTACCGGCAAGTGTAATCTGGTTCCCGTTAAGAATTGAAAATGCCATATTTCCGTCAAAAATTAATGAAGCGGGACGAAATGCAAACTTGATCTATAACTAATCAAGGTAAAGCCACATACCAAAAATCAGCTCAATATCTACAAGCGTTTAGAAGAAAATTGTGGAAAACCCGTAAAAATTGAAAAGGCCGTAATTCCGTCAAAAATCAATGAAGCAGAACGAAATGCAAACTTGATCTGTAACTCATCAAGATACACTCACATACCAAAAATCAGCTCAATATCTGCAAGCGTTTAGGAAAAAAGTGCGGAAAACCAAGTGGGACAGACTGACAGACAGACAGAGGGACAGACAGACAGACGGACAGACAGACAGACAGACGGATGGACAGACGGACGGACAGACTCAGAGGAAACCTATAGTCCCCTCCGGTTTCACCGGTAGGGGACTAATTAAAGATCTGGTAGCCTTGGAGAGTAAATATTGCATTATTCACTAGTTTAGGGAAGTGCACTGCACAAGTCAAGAAAATAACCTTTTTTTCTATTTTTGTATATATATGTTTTTTTCATCAGAGGATTTAACTCATTAATAACTCAACAGTAAACTCAATATAGCACTTGGACACAAGTAGTCCATCCCAATCAGCTACTAGAGGTACTGTAAACAAGCTCATGAAATTACCACCCCTACCTCCTTCCCGCTGCATTAAGTTTTAAAGTGCCAATTTACATATTTCTAAGAAACTGCTTTAAGAACCCTCTCTACACTGCACACTAAAGAGTTCTGATTCTATGGTATTTTTCTGCAGTTACAGTGCAGGGAACTAATTTTGTTACATTAACCAGCATCAGCATAAGCATTAGTAGCATCAGGATCGAGCTAGCATCAGCATCAGCATTTAAAAAACAGCATTACCAGGATCAGCATCAGCAAGCAAAGGATAAAACTAGCATTGACCTACATAAAATCAGCATTATCCTACTAGCATCAGAAAATCAATGAGTTTTAATTCAGTAAAAAATTAAAAAACAAGGGAAAAAACATTGGTTAAAGTATTCACATTATTGATACATAGTGAGATATTATGATCAAATAATTGTAAAGGAACTTTTATTGCTTTAAACGGCAATGCTGAAATTCATTATCTACTTCCGGTAGCATGATGCTACTTCCGGTAGCATTGACCTAATTATAAAACAGCATCAGGATAAGGATTACTAGCATTAAATCAGCAAGCAAAGGAAGCATTCAAATCAGCAAGCAAAGGAAGCATTCAAATCAGCATAGATGCTGTAACAAAATTAGTTTCCTGCACTGTAGAGTGATCTGCCCTTAGATCTCAATTCCAATAAATTGAAATTTACAGTATATTATACTCAATTTGTAATCAATTTAGTATTCTTAACATTTTAAAAAGGCCCAGATAAATGAATTGAACACTTTATTTGCTGTGTGTATTTTCTCCACGGAAGTAAAGTACTAAACAAAAGTGATTTCTGTTCATTGATACTTTGTCGTCTCTGAACATTTTTCCTGGGGAGCAAATATTGCCACGTACCGTACATTGAAAATTAGATAGATAAGCTCAATATTTACACCTTGATTCAATTTTCTCAATGTCCAAATAAAACCTATTTTGCACTGGTGTATAGAGAGTCCTTAAGTAAAGTTTGTGTATTTAAAGTATGAAATTAAAATATTTCTATATAACCTGATATGAATTTTCAATTTTCTGTTGTCACTGATCTTGAATTTGCATGAATGACCTTAGGTCAAGGTCAATTATAAAATTTTAGTGTTTCTCCATTACAGAATCCTACTAATGTTATTATCCCCTCGCAATGAGTTGGAGGGAATATAGTAAAGCATTTGTGTGTTTGTTAGTAATACCCTTTCTGTTGTCATTCACACCATGCAGATTAACATAGCCCTCAATAAGCACCTATAATAACCATCACATTCTCTTACAATGGCCTCTCTTAGTCTTTGAAGAATATTTAAGGAATATCTATATTTTTTTTTTTGTACTATGATGTAGTCAAGCAATTAGTTTGCATAATATTGTCAAATTACCACACAAGATAGGTGCTTGAACATAATTAATGATTATAAAACCCCAAAATCTGATGGATTTACCACATACTATATTTAAATTTACCAGCTTGATCTAAGCCTTGCCCACTTTTCCTTCTCTCTCCCACCCTGCACATGTATGTTTTATTACAATTGTAACCATGCATATTGATAAACCAGTAGCTTTATGAAGAATACATTTTTTGTTATTTGTAATTTTATTTTGAAGAAAGAAATTTGAAAATATAACTATTAATGTATAAACTTTAGGTATTCTTGTACAGTGGATCTTCAGATATTGGACGCCAGATATGTGGACTTCTGGATGCTTTTTCATGGAAATGGCATTTCATAATGGTCTGTCAATTCTGCTCAAAGGAGTATTCTTCTTAAGTATAGTAGTGTGGTCCCTTTTTACACCCTTGGTTTACCGGTTAAATATTAGCATATGGTATTTTGTTTGTTTTCACTGTGTATAACAATGTATTTTTAATTAAAACATAATTAAACATATCAAAAAATACAAGCCAATTTTTAACATCTATCGCACTAAAAAATGCTGGAACATTTTCCCCCGGTCAGACTACGGTTTCTCTATTACATGGAAATGGGCGGAGAAATTTAGATTAGAAACTATAATCGAAGTACTGTAAGTACTGATAGAAAGTGGCATAAATGATTTTGTGTTTAACGTCCCTCTCGAGAATTTTTCACTCATATTGAGACATCACTATTGCCGCTGGTGGGCTGCAAATTTAGATCTATATTCAGCACTCCAGGTCATTGAGTGGTGAGGGATCTTTTTCTGACCAGCACTTACTGCGACACGGGACCTCGGTTTCACTGTCTCCATGTCTCGCAGTGGGATTCGAACCCGCTACATAAGGATCGACTCCTTCATGTTCGTGACTCTAGAGCAAACGCTAACCACTGCGCTACACGGCGACTGGCATTGAATGAGATAAAATATTATAAGAATCTGTAAAATGATATGATGGAAATTATGAAAGTTTATTGCAATTTTTCATGATACATGTTTTTTAGTCAGTAAATTTGTATTTCCGAAGTATAATGAGGACATGTTTTAATTGGAGTTGTTAATTTATTGCATGAAATTTTCTGCATTAGGTTTATTATAAAATAAGGATTAAATAAAAAAAAAAAACTATCCCGAAATGCCAAAACGAAACTTCGATCATTTCAGTTTTTTTCTATATGAACTATTGTGGTTTACAGTCATAATTGCAAATTTAAAAATGAAAATATATTTAAAAAGGATGATGAACAGATTGAAATTATATATTCAAATAATGGATTTTGGGATGTTTTAGTATTTTCCCTCATAAATTAATGCTTAAAATGTGTCAAAACCAGTTTATCCTAAATGTTAAATCATAAGGGAATCAAGGTTCCTA